AAAGAGTGTGGATGAAGAGTGGATGAAGAAGGACACGATCCTTGGTGCACAGAAGTTGTCCATACCTGTACACAGAAAAATTGGCACTGGGGCTGGGAGCCTATCTTGGCTCAATAGGGAAGGTTCAGATCTTCTGAAAAGAAAAGAGAGGCTTACCAATGATGGAAGCTAGGAATAGATCCCAAGGAGAACTACATAAGATTAGTCCACACCTGTAGAAGGCAGATTAGAAAAGCAAAGGTGGTGACCAAATTCAGGTTAGGTAACAGAAGGAAAACTAGTGGAAATGTGAGACCACTGCTCAATGCACCTGCACATCTGATCACTGACACCAAGGAGAAAACTGAACTCCTGAATGAATACTTCACATCTGTATTCCACCAGTCCAAGAGTGATAGCCTGCCAAATGCAAATATGACACAGAATAGTCACAGTAGGGATGACCACCTACCAACAGTCAATGTAGAGCTGGTGAAAGAACAGCTAGAGAGGTTGGATGTCTATAATTCATCAGGACTGGATGAACTCCATCTGAGAGTGCTGAACGGATTAGCTGAAGTCATCACAGGACCACTGGTGAACCTCTTTGAGAATTCATGGCACTGAGGAGAGGTCCCAGAAGACTGGAAGAGGGCCATTGTTGTGCCCAACTTCAGGAAGAGGATGAGAGAGGACCCAGGGAACTACAGGCTGATCAGCCTGGCCTCAATCCCAGGCAAAATCCTTGAAAAATTTCTCAAGGAGCCCATATGCGATTAGCTAGGAGGAGGCAAAATTCTGAATGACAGCCAGCATGGTTTTGTCACAGGTAGGTCATGTTTGACTAACCTAATCTCCTTCTATGACCAGGTTACTCACCACCTGGATAAGGGAGATGAGGTCAATGCCATTTACTTGGATTTTATCTTGGCCTTTTACTTGGTGTCCCAAGAAGTTCTCAGGGTAAAACTAGGGGACTATGGAATCAACAATTCAACAGTCAGATGGGTGGCAAACTGGATGTGGGGCTGGACCCGGACAGTTCTAATAGATGGATCTGTGTTGACCTTGTAGAAGGTAGCCAGTGGGGTCCCCCCAGAGTGTAGCCATGTATCAAGGTAGGCTGATGGTTCAGGTCGTCCTAGACAGATTAATTAGATGGGCAGACCAGAACCAGATGCTGTTCAACACTGAGAAGTGCTTCATCTGGGGATGAAAAATCCTCAACAAACTTACAGGCTCAATGGTGCTACATTAGCTAGCCTCACATTCAAAAGGGGCCTGGGGGTCATAATTGACCATAAAATGAATATGAGCAACCAGTGTGATGCTACAGTTAGCAGAACAAACAATACACTGGCATGAATCAACTGATGCATCTCAAACAAAACTAAGGAAGTTATTCTTCCACTCTACTTGGCATTGGTGAGGCCACAGCTGGAGTACTGCATCCAGTTCTAGGTGCCACACCTCAAGAAGGATGTGGAAAAGCTTGAGAGAGTCCAGAGAAGAGCCACTTGTATGATTAGAGGCCTGAAGAGCAAGCTACAAGGAAAGGCTAACAGCCATGGCACTGTTCAGCCTAGAAAAGAGAAGACTTTGGGGGTATTTGGTGGCAGCTGACAAATATATCAGGGGAGAGCATCAGGGGCTAGGTGAACAACTATTCACCAAAGCACCCCAGTGGAAAACCAGGAGAAATGGTCATAATCTCCTTGAAGAAAGTTTCAGACTAGATATAAGGAAAAACTTCTTCACAGTCCATGTGACCAAACTCTGGAATAGACTGCTAGTGGGAGTGAAGCAAGCACCTACCCTGGAGTTCTTCTAAAGGAGACTGGATCCACACCTTGCTGGGGTTATTTGACCCAGCAGTCTTTCCTGCCCAGAGCAGGGGGGCTAGGTCCCTTTCAGCCCTAAACCTCTGTGAAAACCTACGTAAAAATCAACCACCATTATGTAAGGAAGTGCCATTTAGGACAATGAGTGATCCTTTTCTCACTGCTTTTATTTCTTCTTTTGAAGACTTTCCTAGACATGCACAAAAATATTTCATCATTCACTGTAATTGCCTTCCTTTCTGAAATAGTTGGCATCCAAATCTAGACGGCCAGTAAGGCTAATCATAATTCTGTGTGCACTCCCCAGGACCTAAATGTTGTTATGGAATTTTTGGAGAAAATCTTTTATTCCTAAATACACATAAACATAACCAATAAACCTAAATGTGAACCAATATAAATAACTTACTTGGCGGCACCATAGTTTTCGAAATATTTGCAAATAGGCCAACACCATAAGACAGAGTGGTGCCATGTATGTCACCAGAAAGAAACATGTGTGGTACATTTTTGGGTAGACCTCAGCTGGAAGAAAAAATAAAATAGAAAAATTATGCATATATCTATTTATCTATGTATCCTGTTAAAACATTATTTTGAGCCAAATGGTACTTGTAGGTACACATATATGCAATACTCATTAGTTAAAATGGATAAACACACACAAATCTGATGGTTGAAGCTGGTCCTTGAATAAGAATGAGACACATTTTGTAAAGTATTTTGACTTGCTTCTACACTTCAAGGCAGCATATTGCCCTCCTGGGCTGAGAGCACATTCTTTACTATATTTTTTTAATTAGTGAAGAGTTCCATTAGGAAGACGATAGTACCTTCTTTTAGTAGCTGACAACTGATTTTTCAAATCCTATCTACATTGTATGTTGTAATGTAACACAGTCCCTAAAGAGAAAGAAAAGTTCCATGGTTACAATGTTACCCTGTGAGAGACCTGTTCTTAGTTACTGCTCTGTGACCCTGAGCTTGTCTCGTTTGTGCATGTCAACATGGCAAAGAAGCAAAATGTTTTTTTTTTCCCCCTTTGTAATATCTTTTATTGGACTAAGTGCACAGTTGGGAGAAAGACAAGCTTTTAGGCACAAAGTGCCCCTCCTCGGGTCTGAGAAAGACAGACTTAAGTATAGACCAAGTCAAATACCAGACAAAACAATGGCTTGCATTTAACTCACTATGAAAATGAAGACAGCCCATTCAAAGAGAAGTCATTAGAAGTAGCCTCAGCATCTTGTTTTTTACATATTCCCTGAATTATGATGGCTGCAACACCATTCCAGCCCAGAATATGTGCAATCTGTTTAGAGATACCTTAGCTAATTTAGATATTGGAAGCAGAAATGCTACATTAGCATGGCATTCTAGTGTACCTTTGTTTCACTTATCCATCTGTAAATAGGGAAAATAGAATTGATCTATCTCAAGGGCTGATGCAAAGATAAATAAAGATATGAGATATTCAAATATTATGGCAATGTTAAGCTAATGACACATAAGATGGATGGCTAGTAGGTAGAGACAGGCACACTTATCTGTATATATATGCAAATACATATACAAATATACACACACTCATCTATACATCCATATAGATACACACCCATATATATGGATGTTTAGATGAGTGTGTGTATATATGTGTGTTTCTCTCTTTCTCTCTCTCTCTCTATATATATATATATATATATATGTGTGTGTGTGTGTGTGTGTGTGTGTATGTATGTATGTGTATGTATATATGCACACTATATATATATATAGAGAGAGAGAGAGAGAGCGAGAGAGAGACACACACACACACACACACACACACAGGGGGGCTGTACTGCAAATGCTGGTAACCACAGACATATATAATGAAATCGTTAAAATGAGCTGGTGTAATTCATGCAAAAACCTGAATTTGTTAAATTAAATACTCTGAAGTCAGGAAATTTCTGATCCCAAAGTGTTTTGTACACTTCAGTGAATGGATCTTCCCAATACTTTTGCCACTGTGTGGCAGGAGACTGGGCAAGACCCATGGTCTTAACCAGTTAATGGCAATTCTTATGTTCTAAACTAGGGAAGCACTGTTATTCACATTCTTCAGCTGTTGAAAAGAAAGTTATGTGACTTACCAAGATCACAAGAGGTCAGTGATAGAGATAAGAACAGATTCCTCTTGCTCATAAGAAGTTGTCTCCTGCCTCATTACTGCTCTGCAGGCAGCAGGGCCCCTTTCAGGTATAAAGGCAGTACACATTCAAAGAGCCACCTGGAGTTTATGGCTTCCAATTTAGCACTCTGAATCCAATGGAAACATGACTGCAGCCCAGCTATCTACAAAGAGCAGATGGGCCAGGCTAAGGGAAGAAGCTAGCTTTCTTCTATGAAGTTTTGCCACCTGAAAAGTGCAGCTAGCTAAACATCAAAAGAAACTTTAGTCCTTCCTTCACCCAGGGCAGTGTACTTTGCAGAACTTTTACTTAAGAAGCTGAATCTGTTTAGTTTTTTAAGATAAAGTAAAGCTTTCAAGTGGCTTAGTAATCACTTCAGTAGACAGGAGGAGTGACTGGTCAAGGATGCTGTTCATTTTTCAAGTGAATTAATCCCAGGCTCCATGGTCAGATTGGTGCTGAGGGGTAACATCAATCAGTGCTTTTGTACATTTATGGTGATGTTTGAATTACCTGACCACAACACCTATCCTTCTTTCTACATATGTGAAGCAGAGGAGAAAAAGTTCTCAGCTTAGACAGGCCATTCAATCGGCTTCAGAACAGAAAAGAATCATGGTCATTTGTGGTGGTCTCTGCTAATGGAAGTAAATTATAATCTTGGTGTCTGTGAAGATCATAACAACTTTATCTCTGTCATAAGTAATACTGTAGAAAGCAGGGTATAGTTTCACTTGCACGTGGTACTCACCAAATAGTCATGGAACTATTTGGGGTAATGTTATTGTGGACTTGGTTTAAACTATTCTGAATTTAGTTTAAATTAAATGGAAGAATAAACAAAAGTAAGTCTGTAAGGAAACTAGCTAGTGAGATAAACTGGACTGAAGAGCTGAGACATCTAAACATTGAGAATGCTTGGACTTTAAGTAAAAAATTATTTGCATTGCATGCAAATAGAATAACTTGCAGGAAGGGTTCTAGACTTGCATTGTTAAATAACCAATTAAAAATTGACAGTAAGAATACACTGAAAGTCTCTTATCATTATTAGAGCACTTACCAGCAAAGAAAGCTATGGCTGAGAGTATATTCTGGAGGTATAGGGATAAAGTAAGAATTTCCAAAAGAGGAGTTAAGTTAGGCCTTCCAAAGTCCTAATTAAAATTTTTTTTTAAATAGTAAAGGTCCTTCAGTCATACAAATGAAAAAGAACAAGAACAAAAGAAATAGCAGAGATGCTAGTCAGCGAGAATATGAGAAGTTCAAGAAAATTTAGATATGTCCAAATTACTAAGTGAGTGTTTTGCCTCAGTTTTGAACAAATGAGGGCAAAGACAGGAAAGCAAAAAGGAGAAAGAGAAAAACTTCATGCTTTCATGTCAGTGGGTAGGGATAACTTCAGAACTCTAAAAGAAGTAACACATCAAATTATAAACTTTTAAATAAACTGGTCAAGTTAGTGGTGTGACTAGATAGTGAATGTATTATTTAAGAATAGGAAAAAGTTATCTGAACAACTACAGATATTTTTATTGAGACTGCCTATTCCTGTTGGCTTCAGTTAGGAAGCTCATAGAAGGCTTTAGAACAAATATTGAAAGAAAGAATAATTCAAGAAACGGCAGTAGAAAGAAAACAAAATAAATACAGTATGGGAGTAACAAAGGTAGATTAACTGTATATCATGCTAGAGCAACGGAATGTGTTTTTTGGGTAAGATAACTACATTTCAAGATAAAGTAAGTCTTATTTTTCCTCACTTAAATAAAGTGTTTTATATCATGCTGCACTGAAAAAAAATAGCTTTTCATCATTAACCATGGCACAAAAAACAGAAGTGTACTAGTGAAATTTCTGGCCAGAGAAAGGCCGTAGACTGAGTAGGACTACAGCCCATAAAGCTGGGCTTGGGTGCAGTGGTGAAAAGAGCCCAGATGGAGCAAGAGGATGTAAGCCAGGGGATGGCTGAAACCCCTACAAGTGTTTGGAGGCTGTGACAGACCAGACAGTATAGAGGGGCAAAACACAGGTGTTCAATAACACCTGCGAGGCATGGGAATGACTATGGGGGAGGCAGGAAGTCATGATTATTGCCCTTAAGGTTTCAGTTGGGAGAGTGTCCTGAGAGGGACAATTCCCTCTGGAAAGATCAGGGCAGAAGTTTGGAGAACTGCAAACTGCACTGGGGTACCTGGAAGAGGCTACCTTTTCTGCCTGCAGCATCCAAATTTAAGGATTCTAAATTAAGATCAAGTTGTGACAGGCAGAAATTTGGAGACACAATAGAGACTGAGGAAGCTTTTAGGCAGGCCTGTCCAAATACTAGAGACGTCGCACACTGATCTGACAGTGTGGGCAGGACTAGTTACAGTACTAACATTAAGAATTTCTTTATAAGCTGGGAGATCATCAACTATAAATTACAAATGAGATGGTTAGTAACTGTGAAAAGGCTGGTGACTAGAAAAAGGCAAATGTGATCCTAGGACATAGGCAGAAGGTAAGCATGACTTCATACTATCAATGGATATCATTTTTTTTTCCTACAACATATCTGAAAAGTAGAGACAGGAAGGTATAAATGTCATCATACAAGGTACTGATAAGATGAAGCACCTCATCTCAAAAGAAGATATCTCATCTCAAAAGCTCCTCAAAGCTGAAGCTCAAAGGAGGATCCAGGAAATAAAAAATCAATGGTAGTAAGATAAAGCCAAGGAGATTTAGCAATATGCCAACAAACATAACATTCATAGTTTTTTCCAGGCAACAAAAGCCATCTGTGATTCAACTTTCCACAGTGATTGCAGGATGGCTCAACACTCAAAGACAATGAATCTTTCCAAGCTAGATGGAAATAGCAGTTTGAGCATTTTGAGGCACTCCTGAACTGTGAGTCAACTGTGATGGATGTGAATTTTTCTCCCAGTACCGCAAAAGGAGATCCCTCATCAGCCCTCATGTCCTAGAAGAAATCTGTCATGCCATCAAGGAAGTCAAGAAAAACAAGGCTACTGGGCCAGATGGTATACCTGCTGAAATCTTTAAGGCTGGTGGTGAGGAGACTACAGATTTGTTCTTTGAATTTGAACAACAAGGAGATCCCTCGGGACCTGAGGAATGTTAACTTCATAACTATCTTCACAAAAGGGGATAAGTCTGTGTGCGGGAACTATTGAGGTATCACCCTCCTTTTGCCAGAAGGGAAAATCCTTATACATATCCTTCTGAATTGTTATCTACTTCTTGCTGATGAAGTCTTTTCAGAACCTGTGGGGTTTCAGACCATGCCACAGGGCAATTGACATGATCTTTGTTGCGCACCAGGTACAAGAAAATTGTTGGGAA